CTCCCCCCCCCGCCTCCCTTCCCCCCTTCTCCTGGGATCCCCCAGCTCCCTGCCTGCGCCCCAATTCCCTGGGGGCTTCCGCTCCCCGCCTGCCCTCTCTGCTCCCCTGGGGCCCCCCCGCTCTCTGCCCGCCCCCGATCTCCCGGGATCCCCCAGCTCCCTGCCTGCCCCCCTTCCCCAGATCCCTTGGCACCCTCAGCTCCCTGCCTGCACCCCCACATCTCCTGGGACTGCCTCAGCTCCCGACCCAGACCCTTACATCCCTTGAGCCCCCAGCTCCACGCCTCAACCCTCGGATCTCCCAAACACACTCACCTGCCCAGGTCCCCCCAGGGACCTCAGGATCACCCCTGCCTGGCCCTCCAGATCCCCCCAGAGACCCCTAGAACTACCAGGAACCGCTGCTCTTTCTGAGCCTCCTCTCTGTATAGGGTGCTGAGCAAATCTATCCCATCCCAGCCCCTGGCACTGTCCTGCAGGGGGTGGGGAGTGGAGGGGGAGGCTGTCCCTTGTGTTCACTGTCTCTGTCCAGCCTTGGGTATAAAGCACAGGGAGCTTTGCCTTCTCTAGTCTCCCAGCCAAAGAGCTCCTGGAGCCTTAGGAACCATTAGCTCCTGGGATCGAGATCATGATCCTTTCTGCGTATTGGGAAACTGAGGCACAAAGCCAGGCACTCGGCGTCCTGACGCCCAGCCCTGGCCTCCCCACCTTCTCCTGAGTGTTTGCTCCTCTAGCAGCCAATAAAGCACAGGGAGCTTTGCCTTCTCTAGTCTCCCAGCCAAAGAGCTCCTGGAGCCTTAGGAACCATTAGCTCCTGGGATCGAGATCATGATCCTTTCTGCGTATTGGGAAACTGAGGCACAAAGCCAGGCACTCGGCGTCCTGACGCCCAGCCCTGGCCTCCCCACCTTCTCCTGAGTGTTTGCTCCTCTAGCAGCCACGTTCCCGCCTGCCTCTGCCGGAGCCCTGGGGCTCCCAGAATTGCTCGTAGCAATTTCCCCTGCGAGCGTTGGCCGGTCCTGCCCCGTTTCCTCTCCCCGGGACATTTCCGTTGGCTCTACCCACAGCTTATGGGCTGCCTCTGTTTGTTGTCCCTGATGCCATAGTAACTGGATACAAGAGAGAGGGAGCTGCAGGGTTTCTTCGGGGCAGACCTAGCTAGGGCCCTGCCTCGGGAAATCCCTGTTCTCTCTGCCCACCCCCGATATTCTGTGGGCCCCTGGGGCGTCGGGGGCCCGAGGGCAATTTCCGTTGGCTCTACCCACAGCTTATGGGCTGCCTCTGTTTGTTGTCCCTGATGCCATAGTAACTGGATACAAGAGAGAGGGAGCTGCAGGGTTTCTTCGGGGCAGACCTAGCTAGGGCCCTGCCTCGGGAAATCCCTGTTCTCTCTGCCCACCCCCGATATTCTGTGGGCCCCTGGGGCGTCGGGGGCCCGAGGGCAGCATTGGTGAACCGCGCTAGTGCCCCCCATGTCGAACTAGGGTGCTGCCCCCGAGCGGGGCAACTGACGGCACGGTGCCTTTCCCTCGGGGTCAGCACCGGTCCCCGGGGGGCATGGTCTCTAATGCAATTAGCTCCGCACCGCTGGGAAGGCAGGCGCCGTCCGGAGAGCCGCTGACGGGGACAAAACAAGCCGAGAAAACGTCAGGCCCTTCCCCGACATGTTCCAGCCCGAGTAATTGCTTCTGCAGATCTGGGGCTCAAATGGCTCGCTGGGGCCTGAGCCCCGGCAGAGAGCTGCACCCCGAAGGAGAAACCCCGGGCGAGAGCAGAGCAGGTGTAGGACCTTAGAGCGGTTTTCGAGCGGTTTTTTCTCGTGACCCAGCTGAAGAAAATCGTTGATGCCGCGACCCAATATAGTTTGACTGGAGTGTGGGCGCCAGGGTGGGGCTGAGAAGGAGCATTGGGGGCTAAGAGGGGGTTCTGGCTTTGGGGGTGTCTTGGCTGGGGCAGGAGGGGCTCCCGGGCTGTGGTGCAGCAGGGGGCTAAGGCAGCTTTCTGCCTCTCCTGTCACCGCAGACC